AACTTATGATTTTTTAAAATATAATATCCTTTTAATCATTCTTCTACTGTATATAAAAGTAATAAAATATTAGAGCAACCAAAATTAATTTTACGATATTTTATTCTGGCATATCTGACATGAAATAAAATATCTCGTAAACTATTAATTTTTTGATAATTGTATCTTAATATTTTTATGCACAAAATAATGAGGTGAATTAATCGATGTAAAAAGAAACACATGGATGTTTTCGAAAACATGAAATTAATCAATTGGTGTAATAAAATCATGTACTTTTGTAAATTTGTAATTGCAATATCGCATAATTTTAGCATTAAAACACTACTACCATATATCTCCAGATTAAAAAAAATAAAACACTATAATTAATTTATCTATATAATTTTTCTACAAAATATTCCAAGACTTCAATATTCTTCGACTTAATAATCATTCAACATTACAAGCATTGCGTTGAGATTTTTTAATCATGCTATTTTTTCTTCATATATGTTGTAATACATGATGTACCAAAAAAATGGAAGTGTACAAAAAATATTCGTGTTTTTGGAACAATTAAAATATGCAATAATTATTAATTTTCGAATTAATTAACATTCGACAAATTATTCCGGATAAAAAACAATAATTTTATGACTTTATAACTTACAATTAGTACAATAGAGCATATTATACTAATTGTAATGCCTTCTACAATAAGCCATTAGTCATAAATCAGAAATTGACGACTGTGATTGGTCAATTTTTAGCTTCTGATTTCTGATTTATAACTAGCTTATTGTAAAAGGCCCATAAATTATAGAATGTTATACATCAAGATTCTTAGAAAATCGAAAATGATGTAGAGACAAATGGTATTTTCCAGCAAAACGCAGTGAACATTTCATTTTTATTTAACAGTAACAAACAACAAGAATGTAATAATTCATATTGTATTGATATATACTGTAATATCATTTGTATCTTTTCTTGGAAAGCGCCCAAAGACGCTTGGAATGAGACACATATAACTCTAAAAATGTGACCTTCGTGCCATTTCTTAATGCCATCAATCCAATCAAATAAATTCATCATTTTTGTCTTCTAATTATCTATAATACAAATAGACATGCAATAATTGCGATTACTTTTTATTGTTGAAAAAAGCGATTAAGCCATTGCATCACCAATTGGCATTGTTCAGGAAGGGCTCTTCTGAAAATCAGAGCAATTTTATTTTTCGATCAATTGATCGCAGTCACGTTTCTAGCAGTCCTTCACTGTAACAATTTCCCTCCGGATGTAGGACTAGCATTTCGCACGATCCCAAAAATGTATTCGGAATGGTCGCACAATGGCTAAGAGCCAGGGTTAAATGCATTACGTAAGTCACTACTATCTGACGTAAGTCACGCGGACTTCATCTGACTGAAGGGCATTCAACGACAGGTCAAAGAGAACAAAGCATCACGAGCTGCCGATTTTCCTTTCTCATAAATACATGAATTCCATCGTGATTTAATACTATTTCTGATTTTGCAAACCGAATTTATCGAGAGGCGAACACGTGGTGCCAATGGAATCGGTGGAGATTTAAATTCGAAAAAGAAAAAGACGCTACCTACAATACATGCACACTCTCGTATGCATGCACATTCGTTCGCTTGTACTCACCGTGCGTTTTTTTATAATAAAGTAATTGACAGTTAACTCCAGACGACTGACCCAATCTGACTGTGAATAGCGTGAACCTAACCGCGAATGCGATGGCCCGACGATCGATAGAGAGTAGAATTACTGTACCCTAGTTCATATCGTGCACTTGATACGGGCACTAACTAGTAACTTTCTATTAAATTATTTTAAATTTTAGCGATGCGTGTAAACATATACATGATATGTGTATTTAATTAATCATTTTGATATATATTGTATCGGTTTAATAAATTATTTTTTAAATATATTGATGAAATTAAGATAATTTAATAGAAAGTTACTAGTTAATACACATATCAAGTGCTCGATGTAGTTCGGTTGTAAAGGGATCACTGGTTGGCAGTTGACCTCGGGCCAGCGTTGCCAACCTGCTAACACAATAAATCTCTAAATCAGAATTTAAAAATCTCATGAAAGCTCCAATTTTCATGAAATCTCCACACCAGAATGTTTAAAAATTTCCATTATTTTAAAAAATTAAAAATTTCAGAAATCTTTAGAAATTTCCAGTTTTCCCATTTTTTTTATTTTAGAAACCTGTAGAACTCTTCAGTTATTTACCAAAAAATTTGAAAATCTCTTTTTCAGTTTTATTAAGAAATTACTTAGAACATGTAAAAATGGAAAGAGATTTGCTTATGCCACCTTTATATCGTGCCTGGAGGTCGATTGTGGATTTCGAAATGAAGTGAAAATTACAAAAATGAGCAAAAGTTATTAGATATTGACCAATTAAATTATGAATTTGATTGATCTTTGATGAATTTACTCATTTTTGTAATTTTCATTTCATTTTAAGACACATTCGACCTCCTGAAGCCATTTGTGCGAGAGAAAGGGAGGATACCATTAGTGCACAATGTGATGGTACACATCCACTCATATCGGCTGGTACTTAGTAACTTTTCACTTTTAATGAAAATATTTTATTTTAAATTGGCTTATAACAATGGCTGCGTTTAGCACAAAAAGCAACTTTATAACCGTTGTAAAATTCTTAGATATAATTGGATTATACATTTAGATTCAGTGAGGAACTAAGGGCAAGACCAATCATATTAAAGAATTTTACAACAGTTGCAAAGCTGCTTTTTCTGCTGAACGCAACTATTGGGTGCTCACTGAGCGCTCAGTGAGCTCTTGCATCTGATTGGCATATTCTATTAGATCTAAAAATATATACCAATCAGATATAAGAGTTCACTGAGCGTTTAGTGTGTGGTTGTAGTACTGAATGCATCCAATATGCGCATGCTATCGAAACCTTCCTTCTTTATAATTGGTTTGAAGCATCCGTTGAAAATTCGATAATTACAAAAATGTGAAACATGCAAAAAATATATACGTCGTAAAATACTTGTTTTTTTCGTAACATATAAGAGAACGTTAATCTATCGGAGTGTTTTAATCTTTCTGTATATAGCTTCACGTAGAAAATCATTATGTAAGCAAGAGATATGGGATAGTTCTTAATATTATACGCGTAGTAATAAGATATTACCTTTTTTTTAACTATGTTTGTTAATAACTTTTATGAATAACAATGTGCGCGGGATAAAATCTTCTAAAGATCACTCAAGACCTAGACAATATTAAGGTCAAAGTCATCGGAGCTGAGTCTGTTATTATCAATATATTTACTAAAATAAATATGACACAACATTTTTAATATTGCCATTTTACAAAATATTTATTTTATTTATCACGATCTGAAAAATTCGTGTCATTAATGAACATATATCATTTCGAAAATAATAATTCAATGATTAAAATAAAACATAATTTACATATAATTAACATAATTTGATATAATTAATCTATACGTGAAAGAAACTGTGTGTAAATAAATAAATATATGTATATATACGTATATACAGGGTGTCTCAGAATGATCGCCAAATATTTCATGTGCTGATAGAAAGAACTAAACTGAATCGAAAAGTATTCTCTACCATTTTGCAATTTTCGCAATAGTTAATAAAATATTAATTACTAAAAACAGCTGAATATTGGTTTTCAATAATTTTTTACTTAAGTACTGTCAACTTTACAAAAAAAATAGCAAGAGACAAAAATTGTTTATTTTCTTCTCAAGGAGCTCTAAGAATTTTTTCAAAATTTTTAATTAATTTTTTAGTACTGCATTTTCTTATATATATGTATATTGGCATCTATTTTTATTAACATGAGAAAATGCGGTACTAAAAAATTCTGAAAAAATTTTCGGAATTCTATGAGAAAAAAATGAATAATTTTTGTCATTTGCTGTTTTTCTATGAAGTTGATAGTTGAGTAAAAAATTATTGAAAACCAATATTCGGTAATTTTTGATAATTAATATCTTCTTAAAAATGTAGAAGACTTTTCGACTCTCTCTCTCTCTCTCTCTCTCTCTCTCTCTCTCTCTCTCTCTCTCTCTCTCTCTCTCTCTCTCTCTCTCTCTCTCTCTCTCTCTCAGTCTGCTTTACTAACACATGAAATATTTGGCAGTCGTTCTGAGACATTATGTGTATACATACATACATACATATGTACATATATAATATTTTATTACATATTATATATATACATACACACACATATATGTATATATGTATGTATGTTTTACAGCACACAACCTTGTAGATTATTAATTTTTTCGAAGATAAAATTTTTCGTTACCTGCATCTATTTTCGATCTCTATTCTTCTTCACTCTTTTCTAAAAAAAAATAAATGATGTTTCTTATCTATAAAGATAAAATAATGTATTATAAAGATATATATAATATTTCAAGTATGTATGTGTATGTGTACGCCAATTAAATACAAATGATCTTTGTATTCTCATTTAAAAGTACGTTCCTATATGACTTCTTAAATGATAGTATTTTCAATTTAATAATATTATTTAATGATAATATATCACGAAGTTATATCGACTATATATTAGACATATTTTGAGTTCTAGCAGCGTCAAATTTTTTTTACGTTAAATGTTTTTGAATATTGAAATAAAGAATATTGAAATAAAGAATATTAATATTTGAATTGAAACTGAAATATTGTATCTTTGAATGGGAATATCTTTGAATAACGAATTAAGATACGTACAATTTATAAAGTTATAATTTTAATCAGCGCGTATCTTTGACGCCTTTTTTATTATTATTTTTTTAAAATGATTTTTTTTAAATCTACATAGCACATCTCGTCCAAGGAACATTACAAATATATCATCATATCTATGCAATGTCGTATAATTATTGTGACGTTCCTCGTATGGAGTGTACTGAGAGGGTGAATTGTTAATTTATTCTTTCGTAGGTTCTTTCTGCTGTATTCAGCAGAATATTTATTTTGCAATTGTTGAAAATTTTCCAATGAATTTTTTCTTCACGCTTATTGGATTATACTTTTAGATCTAGAGGAATAGTCCTATCTCAGCAGATGATCATAAAACAGTTTCAATCTGCAACTGTTCGATCTGCTCAACACACCCGTTTTTTCTCTATACAAAATTGCCTTTTATAATAATAAATTTCATATCCTAAAATATCACTAGGATTAGATGATACTAGGATTAAAAGTTATAAAGTATGTTCGCGTTGTTTGAAATCCTCAAAAATTTTTGAACTTAAAATAGATAGAGATAGATATATATATATTGCGTTGAAAAGAAAGAAAGCGAAAATGATGAATGCAAAAACTGCAAATAACGCGAACAGACCTATAATTATTTGAAATGAATTTCACTTTTATTATGAATTACTAAAATGTTTTTATCTCGATGTAAAAAGGTCTGTTTTATTATAAACTATAGTTAGCGTAATTTCTATTAAAACTATTTGTCCAAGAGATATGATTGTGTTTCGTCAAGATAATCGCAACATATATTTATTTATTTGTTATAATTTTTTATATTAATTACATCTTCCTTTTTATTTATTATTATATTCTATTTTCGCATAAATTTATGTATCATTCAAACTATGAACTGCAAACATATCAACGCCGTCTTATGTTTAAAAGTATTATAGTATTGTGAATACTGCATTAAAGGCTGAAATAATATTTTTGATGGACGATAAAGATGACATTTCTTAATTAAAAATTTATCAGTTCAGATCTTCATACGATCATCGTTCATATACGACATGTATAGAAAAAAAAACACATTTTTTAAATATAATTCAAATTCAAGCTGTCGAGTAAGCTTATTAAAAGCTTGATCAATTCAGTATAGTTACTGAGATCAAGAAGTCCAAGAATTAACTAGATAGAATTTGCTTTGCTGTTGTACTTATAACTATGTCATAGCGCTAAATATGGCCGTCTTTCTTAATTATCTGTATAATATAAAATTGTTTTCTCGATTTTTTCTTGCGCTTTAATATAATACATTGATAATAATTTTATTACTTCAATTATCTACTATTCAATTTTACATTGATAAAAAGCTGATATTAATCTTACTATTATTAGCATTATTCCTAATAACCTTTGTCTTTAATCTTCATTATAGTTTTATAATTAAATCCAACGAATTCGAATATTTTCTAAGAATATCTAATTCCACGAAAACATTAGCAATAGATTGATCAGGATGCATGAAAAAATAAGACGTTGAGACCAAATTCCGGATCCAGGCATTGCCGAATTGCAATAGTCAGTTAAACAGGAGCAAACTTCTTGTCTACCACCAAAGCCACTGCGTTGATAGCATTTGCCTTTATAATTTGATTCATCCCATCCGCATCCTCGAATAACTCGCATATCTGGTGGTACTGTGTAAAAAAATATTAATCTTTTTTATCTCATTATATAAATATTAATTTGTTTTATGCTAAATATTATTTTTATATGATAATTGAATCATTTTTATAGCATTATAAACGTTGCATTTTACGCAAACGTATAATTTAATAATGTTGTATCTTTCATACAATTATATATGTTGTATCTTTTATACAATTATATATGTTTCGAGGTAAACGGATTCTTTACATATATGTATAAAAAGTAAATCATCATATAATTTAATTAACACTAGAAATATCAAGATTTTACCTTTTATGACTACCAGATTGGTCATTTTGATCGCTAATGCAAAGAATATGTTCTATGAAAATTATTTAATTAGATAAAACCGATTTCAATGTACAGTGCGGTCATAAAAATAGAGCCACTTTCATTAAAATAAATAAACTGTTTATTTTACTCATTTATCTTTACTTGTTATAATCCCATTTATTGTACAGTAACAATAACGTATATCACATTAAAAATTATAACAAACTGCTGAAATAAAGTGTATATTGTATTGGAAAATTTTGAAGTATTCTACGCTATAAATAGTTTGATCAAAATAATAAAGCCAAATAATTGATGTAAGTTAATTAATATAAAATAGTCTGTTACGTATTAATTATTATATTTTATAGATTATGTCTAGTAAAATTATAACAAAAATTTAATCAATCATCTAAAATTAAAGTTAAATGGGGCAAAGTACTCATTATAAAACTAATGAAAAAATAAAAATTTTAATTTTACATAATGAAAAAAAATCGTAAAGGGAAGTTACTAAAATTATTGGAGTCGTTCCAGGAAACTGAGAAAATGCATTAAAAATGAAACTAGAGATTTCAAGCGAAAAACTATATGTCGAATTAATCGTAAAAATTGTACGTTTCTAAGATTGATCCATTCAAGTCATCAAATGAAATTGAAAATCAATCTCAATCTTTCTATAAGTGCACGTACAGTTCGATAAAGGCTTTAAGAATGTAATTTAAATGATAGAGCTGCTAAAAAAGTTCCATATTTAAATTTAAAGAATGTAAGGTGCAGATTACAATTTGCAAAAGACCAGTAAAATGGAGTCCAGAAAGAATTTAAAAAATAAAAAAATATTTTATAGTTTTTTTAGTATATTTTCTAGTATATATTTAAATAGCAAAAATCCTGATTTGATAGTCTTCTCCCTCTATTAAATTTATTTTGGTTTCGTCTGATAAAATATTTCTCTATTTTTTAATTCCTGAATCACTCTATTTTACATGTAGTTTTAATTTTTCCATGAAGGAAAGAGAATATTTATTTTCGATGTATACGTACGTTTGTATTATCATACAGTATGTTTTTAAATTTAAAAAATTAAATTAAACTGTAAAAAATATCTTTTTTAAATATCTATCATGAATGTGAAACTTATATTGATATTATATTATTGATTTCACGCATCCGGTCAAATTGACCGCTCTGATAGTTCTAGGTAGAACATGAAATTCTCGATCACACGTTAATGATAGAGCCAATGGTATGGCATCATACAACCATATTACATATTTAGTCTCAGAATGAAATTGAAAAGTCACGGAATGAAATTGCGCTAAATCAGAAACCGTACAAATGCTAGGCGAACTTTGCGAATCGATCAAAATAACTGCTTTAGTAGTTTAGTGTTAACACGTTAAGTGCTGTACTAGTCGCGGTGATTAATCGTAACCAACGACGTTACTACTGAAAAAAAGCTCAAAAATTAAATTCATAAAAAATAACATTAGTAATTCTGTAAATATAATATAATAAGTAATTCTGTAAATATAATATAATATAATAATCTCATTAAACAAACTAAGCATAATGATTTTGCATAATTCAATTGAATCACATAATATTTCGTCAAAACGTGAATATGATAGTGAAAATTTAATTCACTCCGGCGTTATTGAATAAATAAGCAATTAAATTTGATATTCAATATAATAATATAGACAAATAAATAGTTAATTTTTAATAGTATCAATATAATATATTAACACATACAGCCATTGACACTAAACTCGATAACTTGTGTAATTTTTCGGCACATTGTGTACTTTGCACCATCTTTAAGATCCGAGCAATCTATTTTCATGGAATCTGGAGGAACAAGATCGGCACATTGGCTATTATTGCGGCTGTTACACTGATAACATTGCATAGCATTGCCACCTGTAAAATATAATTAATTTATTTGTATTTTTTCATAAGTACGCATTTAAATACATAAACACGCATATATACTGCGTGTGAATATAGATTTACATTGTTCATTGAAGGAAAGTTTACATTTTGTATTGTGATCCCAAAATGCATTTGTATAATATAAGTTATATGTATATCAAAAGTACTTAATTATTATAGTTTGTAATTATTAAATAAATTAAATTTAAAACATTTTTTACGTACACAAATACGTATACATAAAATTTTTTAAAACAAATCTTTTACAACTTTTTGATTACATCATAATGATATGGAATTAAATGATGATGATCAAATATATAATTTTTTGATTCAGTTTGCTCCCAGAAAGCACACAATATTTATAAAACATTTATAAAATATTTGTAAATATTTATAAGGCTTATTTGAAATATTTATTGTAAATCTTGTAGTAAATACTATGGAAATACTTAATAAGGTATTATAATTCAAACAAGAAATATTTATTTATATTTATCATAAATATTACATTAAAAATACTTAGTTTATCTTTTAATAATATTTCGAATAAAGCTTTATATAAAATATGTATAAAATATTTATATAACATTTAAAAAAATGAATAAATATTCATCATAAATATAATTCTGTGCTGTCTGGACTTATGGTGCTATTTCCTTAAAATTATGCTCAATATTCATTATCAGATAATGAGGTTAAAGATCATTGCAAAGAAGATAATGAGCACATATAATCAATGTTATTTTATATAATCTTGACTTTTCACATATGATATATACTGTATAATTTCATAATTTTCATAATAATTATTTAGATTTGTATATGTGACTGCATCTTAAAAGTCACTATGAAAATAGTAAATAATTTTAAAAAAAATTGTTTCTAATTGTTTAATTATAAATATATTTATCATAAAAAATATTATGTTTTTTCAGTTACATTTAATTTTCTTATTTAATTATGTTTAAAGTTATTACCTACAGTTTAAAGCTATTATCATATTATAAAAACAAAAAAAGAATAAGGACGGATTTATAATATGAATATAATATACACATAATATAACATAAATATAATATAAAAAATTATTGGACTTACACAAGAATAATCATTATATGCAGAAACAATTATATTACATTAATTAATTAATCATTATTATACTGAAAAAAAATATATCCTAAATTTCAATAAATATTTATATAAATAATACCAAATATTTATTAAATATTTATTAAATATAGAGATATATAATATTATGTGGTATAAGAAAAATTTAATCTTCATTTAACAATTTTTTTTATTAAGTAAATATTTATTTACTCTAAGTAAATGTTTAGTTGCACTCAGAAAAATCATTTTGTAAAACCAAAATTTTGTTAAAATTTAATAGTCACATATTAACAAAATTTTGATTGTACATACAAAATGATTTCTCTAAGAGTGCAAGCAGTATTGAACTAAACATTTATTAAAATTGACTATATTTTTTGTCAGAATGAATTTATTCTTTCCAAACAAGCGTATCCATTAAAGATGAAAAGAGTTACAACAACAAAATATTATTTAAAAAATTTATAATGTAGTGTAAAAAGTTTCAGTTTGTTATTAGCAATTTTATAAACATTCTTTATAGCTTATAACGATGTTAGCGCGCTAACATATTATACTTTACGTAACACATATATAAAATTTAGAGATAAAAGCGCGTTTTTATCAATAAAAGCGTGTTCTGAATAAGAGTCTTTGTGTAAAACTTACAAGCTAAATTACAAGTATTGACTTAACAAATAAATTTAAAAATTTTGCAACATCAATTTTATGATTAATAATTAATGTTTCCTAGTAAAAGCATTATTAATATTGTATTATGTTAATGCAAAATTAATAAAAAATATTAGGTGTTGGAATTAATTCGTAGCGTTTTTAATGAAAGAATGTTATTTATTTCACATGAGCATTAAAAAATACATTAATGAAAGTACTTCCCATCACTTGTAAAACGCTACGAATTAATTCCAACACCTAATATTTTATTTTAAATCTTTCGAAAAAACACAAAAAATAAAAATTCAAACATTTTGCGGTGCAGTACAGTAATTTTGATGATATTAGAAGAAAATTCTCGCCATGTCGATTTTAACCAAAGAGATATATTATTCTATAAAAAACTTGAGATTAGATAAGAAATCTATTACATTTTGTTACTTTAACAGCATTTTTCAAGGAGAAACAGATTAACATCAGTCATTTATAAATAATATTCTCTATTAATAATATGTTTAAATAATTAGCAATACATCTCAAACCCAGATAAGAAAATAAAGTTGCAAAACTTTATATTTTCAAATACATTTCCATGACTCACCGTTGCAGCACAAAAACAAAATGATGCTGCATAGAGTTACAAATCTCGGTCTAAAGACTTTGTTCATCTTTCTTCGTTTCTTCTCCTTAGAACAATTGATGAATAAATAGTCACTGAAAAGCTTCACTAATATACAGAATACTGCAGTGCTCACAAAACTAATACAAATATAAAAGAATAGAAAAATAATCAAGGTAAAGAAGGTTGGAAAACAGTCAGAGAATGATGGAAAACCAAGAAATTTAAAAACAAAAAAGATAGAGAAAGGAAGAATCACGAATTGAAAAAACTGAGCTATTAATGTATAGCGCTGGCGTGGCGCAAGCACACTAACTTTAACATCGGCGTTATACAGTGCTACTGAACGAATAAATGGTTACGACTGAGGGAAGGGGAGCGAGGCGAATATATTGAGGTGGGAGAAGAATATGAGTAAACGATTTATTTACAAATAATAACTCCAAGACCGATCAATTTTCCTTTGCTGAATCTTTTACAATACTTGGATTCGTATTTTTCCTATGATACATATTTCTTAACATTTTGCAATCAATATTCCAAGTAATTTATGCGTTGAAAACAATTACCACGAATGTTGTAGAAATAATGACTTTATTTTACGATAATTGCGTAATTATATATTTGTTTAAGAAATTAATTATATATATTTAATAGAGAAAATTAATACATATATAATATTGTGAGACAAGAGATTTCATAGTTACACTACATAATAATAATGAACATACAAGCCTTTACTCTGGATATATTTGTGAAATAAAACTAAATATAATAACAATAATAAACAAATATGATAATAAAATATAATAATAATAATAACTTAACAGAGTTTATATAAAGGGAGTCTTCCGGAGGAGCAATTCAGCATATCAGTACGCCTTGATAAAATATGTATAAACAGCAAGATTCACGAGACATTGACATTAACAATAGATCACGACGTGATGATAACTCATAAACTTTGGCACCTCTGAGTAATAATAACGTTTATAATAATAATAATAATAATAATAATAATAATAATAATAATAATAATAAATGTTCCTATCCTTTTATCGTCAAGTTATCGTCAATTCCTAATTAAAATCGATTTACATCAAATTATTATCTAATTTAAATTTTTTCGACATTAATTTCTTTACAATTAAAAGTTGTTACATTCCATCCTCGATTTACTAAATAAAATTCACGCGCAACTTAAACTCAAAATTATATAAAATTTATCGATTAGACCTGTGTCTTACGTTACGTTACGTTACGTTACGTAGACACTGATGAAGGTCTAATCGATAAATTTTAAGTTGTGCGTAACAGAATGGAGATGCAATTTATTAGTAAAACCGATCTTATCAATCTTTGAATTGTAAGAAAAGTCATTCACATAATCGAATGGAGAATTATTGAAGGTTTGCTGATTGCGCCTACATTTACGAATAATAGCATTTAAGTTTGGATTTTTCACTATATGTAATACCCTGAAGATGACTGAAAAATGCAGCTGAAACGTCGAAAATGTATATACAGAGGAAGAATAAAAAAGAATTATTAATGTATTTAATTAATAACATCTAACATTAAAATAATATTAATAACATCTGTGTATTAGCTCTCAATTGTCTGGTTTTATTGTAATATTATTTTTAATATTATTTTGAGATAAATTTATCTCTATAATTAAAAACCATCTCAGAACTCACTTCGTTCATCTTGACTGACCTCGTCAAAATCCAATTCAAATGGAATTCAATGCTTGTGAGAACTGCCTTCACAAAACAGTCGTAGTTTCCAATAATTAAACTTAGAATTTCCAAATTTTATAAAATTATCCGAAATACTTTTATTATTATTCGTGATTTGACAGTCATGTCTCCGATATATTAATTAGGATATTAAATCTCCTCGATAATTAAACCAGGATGATTTTATACAATGGTCTTTATTATCAATAATCTAATTTACACTTATAATATTAAATTTCATTACCTGTGCGTGTGTCATGATTGTTCTGTGAATGTTAATTCCAATCTTTTTATAAAACAAATTAGTGAGATTATATAATAGATGGTAGAAGGTTGCAATTAAAATAAAAAAGCGGAACAAATTTATCTATCGTTAAACTCTTAATAATCCTTCCAGGATAGGCATGCAAATAACTTTTAAAGGTATTTATAATTTGTTCTTATTTTAAGACAGTAATGTCTTAAGATGCTAATATGGTTCTCTGATTGGTTCATAACATCTCAAGACTGTACTTGAGACGGTCTTGAATATAAGATTCGACTATGAATACCGGCTTTAGACAACATATCACTGTCATTCTTTTTGTTGAGTCCATGACACTGTTGATAGATATTATTTCTAATCTCAATCTTTTATGATACGATGGCTGAATGTCTAAGATTGTGACATTATCCTATGATTATTTATTCTATATTCAGAAACCACTGATAAATTATCTGATTTTTTACAATATTTGCACGAATCTGCAATGACGGGAAACAACGGGACAACGGGACAGGATAATCCTGTTATAATTTGCTCGACCAGAGTGAGTTCTTCAATTTATAATTTATAGATATATATTAAAACTTTACGATACGTATTTTAATATTTAATATGCTACAGTTTGCAGCGCTCATTTAATCGAATAACTGATAATTGATGGTTACACTTTTGAAATATGAAATTGAAGAGCTCGCTCATTTTGCTGTATTCTGCAACTTATTGTGACTACCCTTTGTACAAATTAATGGAAGTTATTGTTGGACTTCACTTATGATGGTACAAATATCGCCGAGCGTTCAATTTTTATCGTAAAAATGAAATTTAAAATCAATTGTAAGTCATAACGTACTACCGCAATATTACTGTTCTCCATCGTTCATTATTTAGTTATCAATTAATTATCGTTTCAAAATGAATTCTGTACACAATAGATTATACAAATAATTAACAATAATATCTTAATTTAGATCGCTTTATAAGTACATCAAAGGAAGAATCAATTGAGATCAACGATCGAGATTAGATCTTAATGGCTAGAAAAGTTATATTACGTAAAAGACTAGATCTTGGTGGATGATAATATTTGCATGTAAATTATAAATATACTTTTTAATTATATAAATTGGTGGTATTATTTTACACTGTTAGAAATGTTCTTAAATTTCGTTAACTTTTAAGTTACACAGTTTGAATTTAATTTCATGACATTACATTAAATTTAATGTATTTATAATAAAAGTATATTTGTGTACATAAAATTTAATGTATTTTTCATCAAAAATTTATGAAATTTAATGTACACGTTCATTTTATTTAAGTAACTATTGTAACTTAATTTTCAGTTAAATTATTCATTACTTTTAATTTTGTTCATAACCACGAGCTTCATTTACATGTAAAGGAAATTCGTGTTTAAATTTCTAATAGTGTAGCTGAAAGGTGTGTGTTTAGAAATGCATTTAGAATTTACATATAAATATTGCGCGGACGCAACACTATTATTAAATAACACGATCTAGCCTTGACCTTATAAATAATTAAATTCATTAATTAGAAACAACTGTTTTTTTTTTACTTGGACTAAGAAGGAAGATGAAACATTTCACAAAGAATTGACATGAATATGGGTTAAATAAATAAGGCAGTGGCTAATACGAGCAGCTTTACGTTCAAATAGAGAATAAAGTGGTAGTTTGGAGTACGTTGAGTGGATAATGCTCATCTTCCTGTGACACGTTCAACGTTATGAAACTGTCACACGTAGTCACCTCGCGTATTTGTTACACAAGTTTGTTCAAGATTTCCTAATTTTGATCTTAAATTCTTTATTTTCTCAGATGTATTTATAAGTTAAAATAATAAAGTTTAAAATAATGTTATTTATCTTTCTTTTCAATCCATTTTGACAATTAAATAACTTTGACAATTAAATAAACAAACAAAGTTTATATCTCGGAAAGGAAGTATTTCTGGAACTATAATGTTATTTGATCTCTTTTTGTATCTATTCGATCTCTTTCTTTCTTTAGAAAAAATAGAATACGGTATCAGTGAAATTATTTTATTGTCTTCTTGCATGTATTTACGTATCTCTGATACTATAAATTATAACGTGTATTTTTCAATTTGATAATTTTTATAATTTTATATGCTCTGCAAATACAAAGAAAAAATTGTAATCCTAAATTTAAAAATTTGGAAATATGATAAAATAAGCATTTATTTAAAAAATAGTAAATAAAAATAGTAAATAAAATAGTAGATAACCATAATATCCTTGAAAGCATACAATTATGACCATTCCATTTTATTTTAAATTGTTACGTTATTGCTTCCTATGTGATAGCAAGATAACACACCTACACATAAGAATGTATGTGCGAATTGATATTAAATAGATCTTTCATTATAGTTAATAATAATGTATTTAGCGTTTTAGCGATTCTATATCACACCTACATGACATACTTTCAACATTTATGATCTGTAGTAAAATCTGTATTAATATTATATTTTGTTTTATAGTGTTACATCATGTTTAATTATTTAAATATTTATAATAAAATGTAAAATGTATAGATATAATTTATACTTTTATTCGTAGCTATATAAATTTTGAAAATATTTTCATATAAATAACTAATTATATTTTATAATTATATATTATTTTCAATCTTAGATGAGTTTATTAATTTATAAATTGATTAATCGAATTATGCGCAAATGCAACTTTGTTTCATTAACTACATTTGCGCATAATGTGATCGAAATGTGGATTAAAAAAGTCTCATGTATTATATATGGAAGAATACAGTTGAAACAGCTCGCATAAAATCAGCCAATAAATTTTGTCTCAAATAGCAACAAGAAGTTCAAATATACCTGTATAAATACTCTTTTATTTCGGTGTGCTCGTTCTCGAGATGAGCTTCGTACGGTTCTGCGCACATATCAAATGCAGCCATATTTAAACAGTTGCCGCGGTAATTTTGAAGGCATATCGCGAAAATGAGTACATGTCAAATAAAAATGTGTATAAAATGTTTTCGGAAAAAAAAATCCAAAAATATGATTTTATTATTTTTGTCAAAAGAGAAGACATTCAATGTTAAAATAAGAAAAAGCTTACGAAAAAAAATGTCAAAAAATATCACTCTATTGTAAAACAGGCTTTATGTATACAGGATTTATGTATATAGATATTAAAAATCGAATCAATCAAGTTCTAATCGACTTATTATGACTGCATTTCATTTAACGCTCACAACGCTCGTAGAATTATTTCATCCTTGTCCTTTATCAAATGTTAAACAAGAACAAACGATACTCGCGAGCGTTACGAGCGTTAAGTGGAACGCAGTCTGTGTAGCTAACTTCCTATCGACAATTTTTAATTAATTGACAAAGTATTGGTTATTTTGCAAAGTCTGATAAGATTTAATTTTCTAATAATCTTACATTTAATTCAAATTTATCCAAACGCAATGAAATATTTGGTAAGGAATATTTTTCAATAATTAAGTAATGCATTTATTATTTATAATTAAGTAATACAAATATATAAATCTATGGAAACGACCGCAATATTATAAATTCATACGAATCGATATTATAATACGATATAAATCAATTGTAGAATTTTTATTGTCCTTTAATACAATAATTGAAGTAATAATATGTTTTCTTTAGACACGCACAAATCTTATTCATTATAATGAATTAAACAATTATTTGTTACAAAAGATTATTAATATAAATATATTTATGTATTATAAACTCTGTTTTTACAGGCGTTACAGTATTTTGATGTTATATAATTTATATAAAGAAAAACAAGTTATAATGCAAATAAGATTATATGTATTGCGAATATTATTGGTTCTATGTGTTTTCCAAAGAGGTGAGGTCTTTAAAGAATATATTTATCTTTTAAAATATAAAAATATAGTTAGCAGTTTTCACTGAAATGAAAAATTTAAGCAATTCTAATAACAGTAATTCTCTCTAACTTATTTGAATAAAAATTTATAATTTAATCGATTAATCAGTAATTAAGTAAAAATTTATAACAGAAAGTTTTATATATCAAAATAAATATTAAAAGCATTTTTTATTAATATAGCTTCTTTTTGTTTTTGAACTACTATTTTACATCCATATATCTACAACATTAATACTAAAAGAAGAATGCATTGCAACCAAATGTTATCAATGTAACAGTAAAAAGGATGAAGATTGTTCCACTAATAAAGTACATAATAAATATTTAAAATTATGTCCATCGAGTCATTTTTATTGTCGTAAAGCTACTTACATGTGTAAGTAAATTTAACTATAATTACTTATTTGAATAAATTTATAACGCGTATATTAATTGTTTTTATCATTAATAAAACGATAATTCAAGAGAGTTAAATAATAATATTCAGATCTTACAATTTTAGATTATTTTATGGGTTCATATAATAGTATAACAATGCGTGAATGCGCAAAATTACGAAATAGCCAAAAGGAATGTTATCAAGGACGCTACACTCGAGATAGTTATCAACTTATCTGTGAATGTATGGGTTATGGCTGCAATTCTTCTCAACAATGCTTACCCAACCTCGTGATCTACTTTCTGTGTATAGTTTTAATTATTATTTTATTGCCAGGCATAATAATTTAAATTTAGTAAAGAAGGTCCAACATAAATTTTCTCAAAAAATTTCCTTCTAAGCATCCATTTAACCATAACAAATCAAGATACAGTTATGTTATTTGTCTTGTACATAAGTCTCATGTATGCATATGGATTTATACACACACACACACACACACGCACACACAAACACACACACACACAGAGAGAGAGAGAATAATCAAATCATATTTATTTGTTACATAATCAGTTGCAATATTATTTGTAATTTTACTAGAAATAATATTAAAAAATTAATATAAAATGTATAATATATGTGTTCAGTCTTGTTAAATTTAAATGTATAAATTAAAAATTGATGCTATTGAATACAAATTATAAATAAAGTTGAATCGAAGAAGAAATTTAAAAAAGGCACTTGCTTATAATTTGTATAATTGCAACTAATCATTATAATTTATGTATTATAGTAAATAATTATCCACATTGAGAATAATATAATAAGAAATATAATCTTGATACGAATGTTTTAATAAAAATCTGTCAAATTATTTTAATGTTCATTAAATGACTGACATTATCCTAGCAAAAGATAATGTTAATATGTATATGAGTACGCATAGATATTATATGTATATACATACGGCGTCACGCTTTAACATGACTTTTCATGCCTTCTCATTCTTTCTCATGCCCTTCTTCTCATTTCTTCTCGGATACTCGTGCAATTTCGTGTGTCAAGGGGGTGCATAAAATGCATGATGCATGATTTGTCCTTGTTGTTTACTAAATAATAAAGAAGGATAAAATGATACATCATGCACTTCACGCATAACTCAGAACGCACCCAAAATATTTGTGACGCAGTGTGTACATTATACGAACAACGCAACAGCTTTTATTTTATCAATTATGATATAGACACTTGGTTATCGATTATATGTATAACGGCAAAAATGAAGATAGCAGGAAATGGCATATTAACTATAAAAAGTATAAGTAAAAAAAAAAAGATTGAAAAGGAAGAAATAAGAACATGTATATGGCGAGATGTTTTTTCTACTTGAAATTTGTTTAGTAGTTAAACCCAAAATTGTAAATTAAATAGCGGCGTCACTGGCGTCACGTTGACGCCAACAACGACTTGTGTTGGCGCCACGACGCCGGGCGTCTCCCGCTTCCATGCTTTCCCCTAACGGTTTTGTGTCATATATCTCTTTATACGTGTGTACGTATCGATTATGCTTAACAGCGATTTTTCAAAATTGTGTATAAATTCATAATAGATTCTAGTCGATTTAGTATATTTTAAAGTTTCAGGTTAAACTAATTCTTTTCAGACTATTATCTCGAATAATTTTATTGATAAGTATTCTATTGTAAAAAAAAAACAATATAAAAAAATGGGTTTGTATGAAAACACCGACAATGTTTTAATTGACATTGCATTTTCATTGAAAAAAATAACTCATTACTTTACTCGTTATATCCATACTATTCGTAATATACAGTTATTATTTCTCATACATATCTCCGTAATTTTTATAACTTTGCCACCCAATGTCTACATAGCAAAATAATTTAATTAAGAAACCTTAAAAAACATGTATGAATTTTTTACAAATTTTCGATTACTTTAAGAGCCTCAAGCTTGGGTCGACACAAAATGACTCATATGTGCCGCTTCAAGGTATTGAAAATAAGTGTGCCGTTACAAGATTGTGATTGATTTAATTTCTAGAATAGTAAAAAATACAAAAATAAACGCCTTTAGTTTAATGTCTTATCTATTTTTGATTGTTCCTAGCATGATAAAGCTTGTCAATTTTTTTTATATTGTAGCTTTAGTAAATTCTAGAATCTTACAATATTACATATTGCGCAGAAAAATATTGCGCATTATATCTGCGCATCGCATGTTTTACGGAAAAGCTGCGTGAACAGTAGAGGGTGAAATGTCGGGAAAGATCTGGAGTAGGAGTGGGCGTTAAGCAACGCAGTGTGAAGAACGCGAATTCATGTACTCACGATCAGTCTGTCTACACAACATCACCCTCGAACAGCGTTATATTTTCCTCTAAATATATAATTTACGTTTTTATTATTGGAAGGACTAAAGTTGTTCGATCAAGAAAGTAAAATGCCTCGAGTAATTGCAACGTTACTCTTCGCTTCAATCTTCATTATAACAGTTTATTCAGGTAACATTTTATTTTATTTATAACAATAGAAGAAAATCGCTAGGGTCTCTTGAAGAAACATCTCTCTATTTTTTGGAAAGTATTGCATTTTATTAATATTGGCTGCATTCCGTTATAAGCATAATGCGCATAAGGTATTATTTCATTCTTGTTGTTCTTACAGAATGTTAAACAAAAATAAAATATGATACATGCGCATTATGCAAACAATGCAATAACTGATAAAAACATAATTTATTTTGATAATTAAAGAAATAAAAACTCATAATTCACACTATGGCTTGTTTTGTACAAAATCAGTTAAAACTCTAAAATGCGAAAATGGAGTTCTTCATTCAAAAAAGTGATCTTGCAGTTATAGCATAAAAATGATCTAAGTACGAAAAATTAGCTAAAATAAATAAAGTTTCTAGCAAGTACTGCGATATTGAATATGTATTGCATCTAATTACATAAACAATAGAGATTGAATTTAGATTTATGTCATAAATTATATGCATATGATTATAATTTTCTATTAGATATAAAAAACAGTGATAATTCTAGCAAAATATTTTTTTTGCGTGTTATAATTTTCTTTTGCAAATTGCGTAGTTTAAATAATTATGATTATATTTTTAGAATATGATATTGTATCATTTATATATTTGTAATTTCCTAAAAATTAATTTTATTTATATTTTTTTTTATTTTCATTCTTTTTATAATGTAATGCGGTTTTAAATATAAAATAGAAGTAATATAAAAAGTAATATAAAAATTAAATATAAAATAGAAGCATATCTGTAATATCTCGTAATATCTTGTATGTGAAACAGACTATAAGCGAACTTAATCTTTATAATCTTGCGTTAAATAATCCATACGGAGCTATATATGAAAAAATCCACAAAAAAAGAAACTGTTATGTTACATGTTTGTGTATTATATCCAGAGAAAAGTTTTGTCAATTCAAAGAAATGTTTCTTCGTTAAGAAAGATTTCTTCGATTTAAAGAATGTTTCTTTTCTATACGGTTAAAGAAAAAATTTTTTTGATTTGAATATAATTTTTTGAAATAAAATAAATTTTTTTATTTAATTTCAAAAAATAATGTATAAAAAGAAGAGCATAAAAAAACCTTCTTTTTATATGTTTTTTATATGTTTTTATATGTTTTATATGTTTTAATCTTTTTATATGTTTTGAATTATAACCACGTCCGTTTTTATGATGTATTTCAAAAAATAATGTTTAAATCAAAGAAATTTTTTCTTTAACCGTATAAAAAAGAAACATTTCTTTGAATCGAAATCTTTCTCTGGGTGATAAAAGGTATTTTCAGACGGTGGTCAACGTTCAACTCATTAGCAAATATCATACACATGTTATAATTAAGTAATTATTTCTATATAATTATTTATATTGAATATAGGCCATATTTAGCAACTTCCCTGATGAAAATAAAAATCGGGACGTAGGTCGAATAATGCAATGGAGTAATAGAAGCTAAACGAGACTTCTTATAAGGGAGCGAAAATTGAAACAATGAAACGTAAAAAGCGTTTACACTTCTTTTACCTGTTAATGTGAATAATAAATATTATTTACATTTTTTATATTTACTACGCAAAATACTGAGAGAGAGAGAGAGAGAGAGAGAGAGAGAGAGATTTCAAATATTATATTTTATATTTAATATGCAAAATATATACAGGGTGTCTAATAATTAATGATAAAACTCGCATAGAGGCAAAATGGATTAAACTGAGAAGAAAACTCCTCTACCATTTTGCAATTTTCACAATAGTTAACAAAGTATTAATTATTAAAAATTGCTAAATATTGATTTTCAATAATTTTTTACTCAAATATCAACTTTACAGAAAAACTACAAGAGATCAAAATTATTTATAATTATTACAAAAATTGCAAAATAGGTAGAGGACTTTTCTTCTGTGTTTAATCCATTCTGCCTCTATGCGAGAGTATTATCATTAATTATTAGACACCCTGTATATATATTATTTCAGATAGTATTTTTCATAATTTCATTCTTACACAAATATTTGTACTGAAAATTTATTTCTTCCTCAACACTGATTATGATGCATTCATATAAGCGATCCTGTTTCTATAATCTTAAGAATTTTATTGTTAGAAGTAATTATTTCTTTTAGTTTAGAAATTCTAGAATTTTTAAGATAATATATTTATTTAAAATAATTTTTTCCTATACAGAAGATGTGCTAAAATGCTACATGTGCACCTCATTATCAAACAATGGTTGTGATTCCGATATGAAAGCAAATTCATTACAACCATTGGAATGTACTGGTAATAATATGGTGGAATGGCAACGAAGCATTCAACAGCACAAAGTACTCAACTCGTTGGCACGGCTTTTCGAAGTTGATGACATGTTACAACATTATCAAAGTCCTCCCAAAGATACAGCTTGCGCTAAAATGGTCATTAAGAGTAAGCAATTATAAATGTTTGCAAAATGTAAAGTTACATGATCTTGATATAAAATATATATCTATTTAGAATAGTTTAGGCAAATATATAATGTATATCTTTTTAGCTGAAAAACAAGATGTTATTGTAAGAACGTGTCAAACAGCTAAAACAGAACTTATTGATCCATGTAAAACAATGGAAGAGAAACTAAAAGTTAGCTTGTTAGGCAAAATGGAACAATGCGAACTTTGTCTTAAAGACGCCTGTAATGGTATGATGTCCCTATCTTCCAAAATATTCTATACTTTTCTATCACTTTTTTGCACTCTCATTGCTTTTTATTATTTATAGAGGTAATTTTCATTATTTTATACGCGATAAAAAGACTTAATGTATAATGAGTAATAATAATCATTTAGCATCATATATTCGTTTCTAATTCTAGCTTAACTATAGAAATTAGACTAGTATATATACTTCATGTATAACTATAAAGGTATAGATGAGACTTTTTAATAAGATACTGGCTACAAGGATTTTGTTAAATTCGGAGGAATTTAAGGAATTTGACGAAATTCTCTTATGTCAGTCTCTGATTAAAGAGTCTCTATAAAAATAATGACTAGCAGTGTGAATTTGTCGTCTTTTAATTATCTTCTCGTCGATCATAATATTCTTTCACTGAAAGATATCTTTATATAACAATTTAATCATCTTTAGTAATTTTTTAAACAACTTTGTGCTCTTTGGGATATGTTAAAAACTTGTTCGTTTACAATAATCTACTGGTTTAAAAATTGTTTTAAGTTATTAATTTACAAAGTTAGGGCATTTAGAGTCTTTTACTCAAAAAATTCTTTATATTTTATTAATATAAACACATTAAAATTTTTATAACATCGGAATAAATGTTTCGATATTAATAAAAATATTTTAAGAAAGTAAAAGATACTAAATTATTTTTAATAAAAGATTTTAATAATGTTAAATGTGATATTTCATTTTGCTATAATATATTTTCATAATAATTGCTAGAGTTAAGATTACAGTGTTAAGATTAAGAATTTTTAATAAAGGAAATTGTGTTCAAATATTTAAAAAGTAGTCAGGTACGATAGTCAGCCCATATATAATGTATATTAAAAATAAAAAAATATTTCAAACAGTCTTTATCATGTACTTTTCTATTTTTTCCTCAATTATAGTTATTGAAGTTTGAATTTTAGCGAGAGTTGACCAAACTGACGACCAATCAAAAGTTTAACTCGTGGCCAGACTCTAATGAGTGCTTTCTATTTGATGACACAAATCGACACGAGCATCATTCTATCCTTATTGATATTCAGAGAATGACAAAGATAGAACGACACTGTCGACTTATGTTATCAAATGGAAAGCACTCCCGATATAGTTTTAACAGTGAAATCGGAACAATACAACTACACTTAGTGCAACTCAGTGCAACTCAGTGCGCGCGCCAGCAGGTCTGTTCTTTTTAGCTGAAGTTTTTTCAAGGTTCATCTTTTTTTCCTTTTTTTTTCACATTGAAGAGGAAAAAGAGAAAAGATAAACTATGCAAGAAGTTCAGTTAAAAAGAACAGGCCTAGTGTTACACCAGACAGAGAGGCACTTATTTTCTCAGTGGGAAATGCTATAAAATAATTGAGTTCGCATGGTTCACATCGTCCATATCTAGAGCGAAGTTTTTTTTCTGTCAAATTTGATCATTTTGTGCAGAAATGCGTTAAATGTCTAATTTTATCATATCGGAGGTGAAGTAGTTCAATTCTATAATTACCAACAATATCAACTATTTGTTTTGATCCTGTATTTATAGAAATATGCAATTTGAATTTATTTATCTATTAAAAATAAAGAATAACAAATAGATTTAAATATAATTCTAAAAACAAATAAAGAAAAATCAAGAAAAAATAAGTCTGTTCGCGTTGCTGTTTGTTTGCACTTTTTTGCATTTAGCATTTTCGTTTTCTCTTTTCAATGCCCAAATATATATCTATCTTATTTTAAGTTTAAATTTTGAGGAATTTTAAGCAACAGACCTATTTATTTTTTATTGATTTTTTTTTCTATTTGTTTAAGAATTATATTTAAATTATATTTAAATTTTATATTAATATTGAATTCTTATATAGGTTATCCTCAAAAATGAATTAATGTAAATAATACATACAACATAATATAACTTTATGTTTATGTATTCTTACATTCCAAATGATATGGATGCAGATATATTAAGAGCAATATTAAAAAGTTACACTGATGCTGAACATTTTTTTCAATCTGAGGATTACAAGAATATGTCAAAGAAAACTTTTCTTTGCATACAATCTGATGCAGTATTAAATACTTTGTGTTTATCATTGAGCAATCTTTTGTGTTATAAAATATCCAAGGAAGCATATCAACGCTATTCAGTTCGATTGTTAATAATTGTATGTTGATTATTTATTAAAAAATAGATTAATATATTTCAATTTTTTAAGCTTTTTTATAATTGATATTTTAGTATTATATGATTGTGTTACAGGATGTTTTACGGAATTGGTGCAGAACAACGAACAATTTTAAACATTTAAAAATATTTACATCTAAGGAAAATAGCCTTAAGTTCATGAATATTCTTTTAGAGAAGTATCTTACAGATGATGTTTTGAATGAGTGCTATTCAGAAGATACTTTGATATGTTTAACTGTTTCTGTAATGCATTTGTCAGTGAAGAATACAATTTTTATGCATCATGTAGATCGGTTGCTTTTAAGACTTTTACAACTTGAAACAAATTATAAAATTGAAAAATTATTATATAACGCTCTTCATTCAAATTTACATCTTAAACTAACTACGAAAGAAGGAATATATGCTTTACAAAAGTTTAAATTAATAGAAGAACCTTTGCTCAATAGTTTTATGTGCATGTTTCCTAATTTGAAGAAAGAGGGTGATGAGAATAACCAAAATAATGAGGAGATGCTAAATAAATTATTAGAACTTAGTGCCAGGTCTGCATATGTTTTTCAATTAATGTTTAATTTTTTAAAGGAATTACTAGTTCAACTGCAATATGCATCTGCAGTCTTAGATTTCATAGATTTGATGTTAAAGCGGATATCTATTTATTGTGAAAATTATGATAAAGATATATTAGATCTTTATCCCAGAAAATTGCGTCCTTGTATAATTTTATTAAGGATAAAGCCCAAGTATCATTCAGTGCAGACACAAAAATATACATTACAGACTATGAAACAAATCTACAATGAAAATAAAAATGTTCCATTAATTTTAATGTCCCATTTTCTTGAGTGGCTTGAATGTTTTGCAACTTATGTCACTAATGATATAAAATATTGACTAGAAAAGAATAATGTAGTAATTATTTTAATATAATTCTGTATAATATTAATGTTATTTTATGTAATTGCAAAAATGTTTATGTATGATGTCTCTATATTTTTATATACTTTTTAAAGACATTATTTTTATAGAAGTATGACAAAAGTATATTTTAAAGACAGATCTTTATTTATTGTATTACATTACACAATATAAATACCGAAACCTTTCACTGACAAAAAAATTAAATGATAAATATTATATCTTGTGTCTTAAATTTTAAAAATGATTATTCATATTTCTCAAATTTTTCGAGATCTTAATTGAACTATTGAATTGAAAATAAGTAACAATCATAAAAAAATGTATTATCAATTGCAAATATACATACATACATACAGAATAAATCATCATTCGAAATTATTATCTTGGATACCTTGAAAGAAAGCCTTAAATACCTTAAAATCATTATTTTTATGATTTGTTTTAAATATTTTTCGAATAATGTACTCCTACAAAAATATTCAAAGTGATAATTTTTATTGACTATATAAAATATATGAATTTGGTAAATGTTCAGTATAGCCTCTGAATTTGGTAAATGTTCAATATAGCTCTTCGATTTTTCTGTAATTTTAGTAAGTTTATTATATATTTTATTATTATTTATTATATATTTTATTATTATTTATTATATATTTATAATATATTTTTACATAGAATATATTCCGAGAAGGAAAATCGTTATTTAGGTCTCGTTTTCTTATTACTTTATTTTAAAGTTTTTTGATGTCGGTAAATTAGAAAATGATAATTTAATAACAAAATGACTAGTCTGCTCAACGACCAAATAAACATGATTGGTTGTTGTAGATCCAAAAAATCACATTCAATCGCTTGATAAGACTAGCAGCTTTTCTCGCTTGAACGCGCCCATTATTGCGCTTTACTGATTTTAGCCTAATATTATATTTATCCTATGACAAAGCATTTCAAGCCTATTATTATAATTGACTGCAGGAAAAAAAAGTTATTGAATCTCTCTAGCGCTCAGAGCTAATCAATAAACTTAAAATTTTTGTCATACGACAAATATAAGACCAGCCTAAGGGGCTGTGTTCAGCGGACTCAACAATTAAGTGTGCGCTCGCTGCTATTGATATATTCTTCCAGATCTAAAATGCTGATTGGATGAATCTAAAAGAATACACCAATAACAACCAATAAAAGGAATAAGGAATAGGGAACAGAGAATAAAAATTTCAACCTATTAGAAATTGTGTATTCCACAATACATGATTTCTGATAGGTTGAAATTCTTATTCTCTGTTCCCTGTTCCCTATTTCTTTCATTGTACGCAACCTCTAAAGGTATTTTATTTGTGTATTTTTGACGACAAATTTTTTAAGCTTGTTAATTGACTATGGGGGGGGATAGAAAGGGTATCAATGGATGCATCCAGAAGCACGATCGCTCAGTGAGCTCTTGTATTTGATTGGCATATTCCAATTAGATCTAAAAATATAGACCAAACAGGTACAAGAGCTCAATGAGCGTTCAATGAGCGATCGTGCTTCTGGATGCACCTAATTATGAAACTTTATCTCTAGTATGGAAAGTGAAAAGTGAAAATTTTTATCATTGAAGTTAATGAATGCTTTCCAATTGCTTAGCACAAATGTACAGAAGAATGTACAAAATGTAACATTGTATACGATTCAATTGAAACAGAATGTGTATGCTATGCACGGAGATCCATTTCGGATAGAATTAGGTTAAATATAGCTTTTTCTACCTATATTAAACAAAAAAAAAAAAGAAAAAGTACTGGCCATTCAATGTCTTCCAACCTTATTTATAGCTGTTAGTAACATATATAATTGTCACTAGAAAATACCAAGAGGTCGATTCTGTATCTTCAAACAAGGTGAAAATTATGAGCAAATTTACTAGGTGTTGACCATTATCAGTATTCTAATAAATTCACTTATTTTTGTAATTTTCACCTCGTTTTAAGATACAGAATCGATCTCCAATTTACACACCCTCGACTGAGTACAGATGTAGTATTGTGTCGATGATAATGGACAATTAGAACACAACTTGTGTCACTGTGTGCATAGTGTGAAAGTGTCTAGAGATATTGCAATTGAAAAGCACCCATTGGAAAAATTTTTCACTTTTCACTTTTTATTCTAGAAATAAAGTTTCATGATTGATACCTGTACACATTTGTCGTATGACAAAGTGACTGCCAGTACTGAAAATCTATAGTGTACGTAACGTAAACTGTAGTATTTTCAATGCTGGCAGTAAATTAGGAACATGTCCCAAGCGTCAATTTTGATCATGTGATTTGTTTTGACTTTCGAATCGAGCGTCGAGCGTCAACATGAAAATGCAGCCTTAGGTATTTCGTTTCACACATGGTATATCATTTTATCCTTGTTATTTATTGAATATTAAAGAAAGATAAAATGATACATCATACGTGAATGGAATTCATAAAAGCATTCGTATCGCAGTATTGGTTGTGACAAATTTCTTAACCTAGGTGTTAACTTTAACAGTTTAATATTGATTAATAATATTGTGCATCGATTTAAACTAATAATATTTTAGGTGTTTTTCTTAATATTTACTATTTCTTTGCATTTTTCTTTATTTTTAAAGTCTATTTATGCTGTAGAGAAATTAAATGAAGTGATAAATGTATATAAAAATATAGTAAGTTTAATAAGGCAAGGAGCTTTTGGCTATTATATAAGACAACTAATAATAATAGACCTTTTTTAAAAATCCATGAACATTTAAACATAGTTATACTTTTATTGTATAAAATATATAATAAAAATATTTATTTTTTAACAAATTTATATTATTTCTACATAGATAACACAATAATTTCACAAAAATCAATGGAAGATACTATTGATAAATCATCAGATTCAATCCAAGAAGAAACAGGTTTTTAGTAATTTTATTTATATAACTTATTTAATTTCTAAATTTTTTAAAAATAAATTTTTTTACAGCGTTTAAATGGCCACAAGAAGCTACTATGTTATTAATAGAAGAATATCGATCACGGCAAAATGATTTTATAAGTGGAAAGATGTCTCAAAAGAAGATATGGCTATTAATTGCCGCAAAAATGCTAAAACAGGGTTACAAAGTTAGTGGAGCACAATGTTTATCAAAATTTTCTGGTTTGAAGAGAACATATAAAGCAGTCAAAGATTATAATAAAAGGTATGGCAGTGGATCAAGAACATGGACATTTTTTCCTGTAAGTTATTTTAAAATCAAAATGCTATACATGTAATACTTTTATACAAATATAAACTTTAAATTGTATATTCTTTAAGCTTATGGATGATTTACTTGGTACAAAATCATCTATGTCATCTATAACTACTGTATCATCGACTGGAAAAAGATCACGAATGGAATCTGTATGTAGTTCATCTAGTTCAGATAAAGAAGAATATATACAACCTAGTAAGATGATTATACCTTTACATAATTAGGATGAATCCAATCAGTTATTTATTAAACATTAATAACAATAAGGGCTATGAGCCAGATTTCAATATATTTAAATTTTTTAACAGACGTTTCAACTCTCGTCAGATTATCTTCAGTGTATATAAGATAGAAAATTAAACAGAAATTGATAAATTCATATAACAGTTAGATACAAATTTTTTACAATTATAGTTATGTTAACATGATGGTCGTATTTCTTCATATATTTTATGCCGCAACAATATAATGTTCTCTCTTTTGTAATTTTTCGTAGTTAGCATTCTATTGTATCAGCTAAATGCTAACTAAGAAAAATTACACAAGAGCACATTATATTGTTGCGGCATAAAATACACGAAGAAACACGACCATCATGTTAGCGTAATTACAATTGTGGAATTTGTATCTAACAGTTATATGAATTTATCAATTTCTACGTTTAATTTTCTATATTGTATACACTGAAGATCATCTGATAAGGTCGAAACATCTATTTAAAAATGTAAACATATCTGGCTTGTAACCCCTATTATTATTAATGTTTATTTATTATTATTGAGCCATTATAGTATTATTAGTCATTTATTATTTATATTATTATATTACATTAACATTTTATTAATTTTAGTAAAATGTAAATAGTAGTTTTCTTGAATTTTAATTACAAATATTTCTATAATGTAATTTTCAATAAATTAATAATTTTGAATCCTAAGATTGTAATAATTGGGATGTTTAACGTATAAAATTTATTAATATAACTTTATACAATAATGTCTTTTTATTTAGAAAAAATCCGACGAGCAACTACCATAGAAAAATTAATAGAAGATTTTAAGAACACTAGTAAAGTTGCAGAAGAAGCTCAAGAGAGAAGACATAAAGAAAATATAGAGCTACGCCGGAGACTTCTTAATTCCTTTGACAAAATGTTAAATATTTTAGAAAAAAAATAACTTTAATTATAAAATAAAAAGCATTTATGAGAAAATACAATTTCATTATACAATAATCTCACTACAAAAAAAAATAAATGGTGTATATTTTCAGACATTTCTCATTATTAAATCATTACAAATTTTATCCCGTTTTCTATCGCCTGTATTGGTATTTCTTTTTTCAGTTGCTATTTCAATATCATTATTAGTTTCTAAAATATCTGATTCCACAACTGGAACTTCATCATTTTGCAGTAGACAAATGTTGTGCAAAACACAACATGCAATAATAAATTCTGGGATCAAATCTATACGATCCATGTCTAAAGTTTTAAGCAAACTTTGAAATCTTTCTTTGAGTAATACAAATGTTCGTTTAATTATAATTTCAGCGGATGAATGACAAAAATTATAGTTTTTTTGTCTATCTGTTAAATCTTCATTTTCTCGAAATGGTGTCATTAAATGTTCATGAATTGTGTAAGCTGCATTACCCACTAAATGGGTATCATTACTAAATTTTTCTGGATCATCTAAATACTGACAAACTTCAGATAAGTGAAATACTTTTTGACTAGGGACGGAACCAACATGTCCAGCAAGACAATGAGTAAATCGCAGTTCATGATCACAAACAGCCTGTCAATAATAAATATAGAATGAATTATATAACCATTTTTGAAAAAGGAAAGAATTATATAACAATGTTAATCATACCTGCAATTGTATACTATGCTGTTTTTTTTTATTAACATAAGAATCAGGATTGATACATGGTGTTTTAATTTTAATATGTGTGCAATCAATTGCTCCTATTATTCCAGGAAAAGCACTAGTTGCAATAAATCCTCTAATAATTTCTTTTTCTCTATTACCTTTTGGCCATTTCACAAAAAGATGAGCTCGTTGAGCAATTGCTTGGATTACTCTTCTTACAGCCATTAATGCTGTGGCTCTGCCTACATAAAATTTCTCGCAAATAGGTCTAAAAAATCAATAAGTAAAAAATACTGAATATGCATGCAAGAATAAATTAATACTTAAAATAAAGTTAATGTTATAAAAATATTACGAACCGATATGGATCTGAAGTAGCCATTTTCCATAGAGCAATTAAAAATTGCTTTCTAGGTGATATTCTTTTACGCCCACATGTTGCTCTTATTAATGAAGGTCTTATAACATCCAAAATATAATCAAACGTTGATCGATTTATCCTAAAAAGAAAAAGATCAATTCTTTATTACAATCACGAAAAATCTATTTTCTATATAAATATACAGAGTGAGTCAATAGAAATTATGAGATTATCTTGAATATCTTTGAAAAAAGTATTATTTAAAACAAAACAAAAACTGTTTATATCCTCTAAAAACTTAAATAATCTTTATTTGAAATATGTTTGGAATAATGCTTTCCTTTAGAGATATATTTTCGAAGTGAAAATTATTAATTCATATCGTAACTAATATATAAATTTTTGTTATACTAAAAATAAAGTTAAAATTTGAAAATATTTACATAAAAATATACATACCCGAATTGTGACTTAAATTGTTTATCATTATAACACGATAGAATATTTTCTACATCATCTTGCAATCGAAATGTTGAATTTTTAATAGAGTATTTAATCAGAAGCAATGTAAAGTATCTTTCGATATCTTTAATATAAAGACTATAATCATTTTCATTATCATAAAATAATTCTAATAAAAGTAATGCTTTGGCAAATAAGAAAGAAATTAGTTCCTCTTTATTCTCCATTTCAATCATGCAATTATAACTGGTTAATAGTGAATTCGCACTGATTCGCTCCATGGTCACAATACATACAGTAGCACAACTCTCCTGATTTTATGTTGACCAAAATGGAGTGCGCATACGCAAATAAAGTAAGTTGCTCAGTAATGCCATCTAAACTTCTATCTCACTTCTTTCTTTTTCCGTTCTTTCTTTCAGGGCCATTTAAATGGAATAACTGAAATACTAATCAGAGAAAGAGATAGAAGAAAAGAAAATCATAATTAAATTAGTTTAATTTAGTTTAATTAGTTTAATTTAATTTATTGCGAAGCTCTATGAGAAAAAATACATGTTAACAGAGTAATAGACATAGTATATGATGCAATAGATTACAGTAGACATAATATAAAATAAAATACAATACAATAGTCATTAATAGCTTACAAATGGTTAGGCATCAGCAAAATTGCTGTTATAAAGTCTACTAGCAACAAAATCGGAAATAAGACAACAATGCAATGAAAGATAAATCTATCTTCTATAATTCTATTTCTTTTAGTTTTATTACATTTAGATTAAAAAATATATATTGTATATATTGTAATTTGATGTGTGTTAATCTAGGGTAAAAATGTAGCAATTGGCAACATATACAATACATTTCCCTAGTGATGCGCTGGGAATTATTCCCACACGGAAATGTTCTTGCGCATGCGTAAGCTGCTACCACAGTTTTGTATACTGCTCTCACTGTTCACATCGTATCGGTTCATCTGTCGATGGCATGGTCGATCACAGATGGATAGGTAGTTTAATTTGATCTACTTCGTAAGAATAATAAATATTTATAATGGACATAATAATTGATACGAAAGGTGATTCTGGCCTGATAAATAAAGATCAATTACTAGACAATGATAACGACTTTGACGAGGAAATTAAAACTATCGGTAATTATACCCACTCATTTTTCATCTTTCTGTAAGGTTAATATTTTACAGAGCATATTATTTGGTTTATTAAGATTACCATTGATTATTAAGAGAAATTAAGTTCACAATTCGCCAATCTTTGTAAAGATTATTGCTTGTTTCTTACACTTAAAATATATGTCTCTGTAATCTATTGTTTCTTTGTAGTGAAGCAATTAAAAAAAAGAATATTTTATTCTTGAGCTAAGATTTATTGGGTCATCTAAAAAGTACGCGGTACTTTGTCATTAGATATATGACCATCAACACACATCTAGTGACAAAAAACTGCGGATACTTTTTAGATGACCCAATATGTTCGTATTCATAGTCAGGCCTTGTATTTAAAGCTTCCTTAAATTTGTCTTCAGATGCTCTACGAATTATTATTGGCTACTGAACATCTAAAGATAAATTTAAGGAAATCTGAATATATGATCTGACTATGAATATGGTATTAGACTAATACAGGCCTAGTTTACATCATGCACTTGATACTAACTAGTAACTTTCTATTGAATTACCTTAATTTTAGCGATATATGTGAACATATATATATATGACATGAATATTTAATTAATTATTTTCGTACATATACTGATTTAATATATTATTCTAAATATATTGCTGAAATTAAGACATTTTAATAGAAAGTTAATAATTAGTACATGTATCATGCTCGATGTAAACAGGTAGTAGTATTATTTGCTGAGTAATTAATTAATCGCATTAAGATAAATTATGGTTAAAGAGTCATTCATTATTCATATCTTCTTTATTAGATGTCGGTCTAACACGGATATTTAATGCAAAATATTTAGACATTGAGAAAAAAGAGCAACCAAAGAGAAAAAAATTCTCTTCCAGTAAAGACTTCGATCTTGAAAAGTTTGAAATGGATATGGGTTGGAGATCTAAGAAAGTGACTTTTGATCCAATGGAAGAATTAGCAGATATAAGAAAAGATATTAATCCTGTGGATAAGATTTTAGAGAAGAGTGTTATTAAATCTAATTTTGAACAGTTGCATGTTGTACCACCTTACGAATTAAGCAAACGTCAATTGGAAATACACAAACGACGTGAGAAACGAAAGATGGGAACAGGTGCAAAATGGTTTAACATGCATGCACCTGAAATAACACCGGAGATTAGACACGACCTCGAAGTATTAAGAATGAGATCTGCGTTAAACCCGAAACACTTTTACAAAAAGAATGATATGAAAGCATTGCCGACGCACTTCCATGTCGGCAAAGTTATTGATTCTCCAATGGATTTCTACTCTTCGCGTCTTACAAAGAAGGAGCGCAAGAAGACAATCGTTGATGAACTTATGGCAGACGCAGAGTTTACAAAATACAACAAGCGTAAATATAAGGAAATTATTGAAGAAAAGCAAAAAACACATTATAAAGCACACAAACATGCAAGAAGACTTAAAAAAAAGAAGAAGAGCTAATTACATTTATATAAATACATTTATATATATATAAAATAAAAAGTATATTTTGTGTATTTGAGAAATAAAGAATTACTAAAAGTTATATATTCTCTATATAAATATATTAATGATGATCTATATTAATGATGAGGAAAAACAATCAAGAGCACCATTGTAGTTGTTGATAGCGTATAAAAATTTAATAATCTTTTAGGATATATTTATTTCATGGAACTGTGTATTACAATCTTTCTTATTCTCAATATTCTCGATCTCAAACATTTCAGTCTGATTTTAGATTATCTTCAGCAAATTAACAAATTAGATAAAATTACGAGAGAATTCTTGATAAACCATATGCAAAAAGCAAATAGATCGTAACCAAGATCTAATATCAAAATAACGTCTTAAATATCGTTCTAATTTTTACTGTCACCGATTATAATAGCGATCTCACGTTTTTTAAAATACTCGACTATGATTGGCCGATTTACTCTTACGATCCCTTATAATGAATTACTAATGAATAGCGCATGCTCACAACTGTTGAATTGTTCACAATTGCCAATATCTGCTCACATCGTAGTGTAGCGTGACTGTGATAGGTTCAGGTTTTCTAACCTGAATATAATCGTTAACTTTAACGATTCATAATATTCATATCTCGATTTGCGGGGCAGAGTGATGTTTATTTCTGCCAGATTCTTTTGTTTCATGCAAAAATACGAACAAGGATAATTTAATTGATTTTTGTGCGGAGATAGTCCGAACAATTACCATACATTTTTATTGATTTTTACTATTAAGATTTGTAGTGAAGGGGTTATTCTAAATAAATACCAATTGCGATTATTGCTAATTTTTGTCTCAAAATCAACAAGGCAGTTATGGATATACAAACAGTAAATACTCGAAGAAAAATATTAAGCCAAGTAATTTCCAGTATTTTAGTAGAGTGTGGTTATGATACGTGTGAGAAACAAGTATTGGAAACACTCACCGAAATGTTACAGTCATGTAAGGATCAAATTTAGACTTATAAGCAGTTAACTTAATTCTCTTATAAATTTTTTTTAATCTTTTAAAATCTATCGTTCCTTTATCTATCATAAATTTATTATATAATATTTACATTATAATATACAATTTATTAGCAACATCTTAAACTCTTAACTATTAATTCTTCATTTTTTAACGTTAATTTTTATATTTACAAAAAAGAGTAGCAAAAATAATTTTAATAAGATTAGTCAGACTGTTTTTTTTTCTTTTCATGAATGAGTATAGTTATTGTGGAGATTGGCGCTTCAGGAAGAAATTATTGTGAACTTTCTGGGAGAACAGAACCTCTTATAGCAGATGTGATATTGGCATTAATTAATATGGGCATAAAATTAGATAATATAGAGACTTATGCAAAACGACAAAGTAGAACAGTCCTGCCGACGCTTCAGCAGCAGACACAAGCAAAACAATTAAATATCTTGCAAGCTGGTGTTAAACAAGGCCATCCATCACATATACCAAATTATTTACCATCTTTTCCTGATCCACATGCGTATATTAGAACTCCCGTAAATATTTATTAATTATAATTATGTGCTACATGTATATATTCATATATATTTTATGTATGTGATAAAAATGTAATGCATAATGTATATGAAACTAATAATGGAAATATATTATAGACACATAAGCAACCAGTGACTGAATACGAAGCAATCAGAGAAAAGGTAGCAACGCAAAAACGAGATATCGAGAGAGCTTTAACAAGGTTTATTGCTAAAACAGGAGAAACACATAGTTTATTTCTCACAGAAGATAATAGCATGTTTCCTTGTAAGAGAATTATCGTTTATATTGAATTATTCAGCATTTCAATGATTCAAAGAAAAAATCTTTTATATCGTTTTGCTTTTAGTAATATCCTGTAAACCACAATTTCCAAGTTATATCTCTGCTCTTTTACCTCAAGACCAAATATTCGAACCAGATCCAGATTTTCAGTTTGATTCAAATCCTGTGAAAAAGAAGAAAGAGCAACAGAACGAAGATAGACTTACCGAGGAAGGTAAGTCTTTTATACAACAAAACATTTAAATGATACAATTTTCATTTAAGAACTTAAACTAACTCTTTGCCTGTAGGTAACCAAACACAAAACGAAAATATGGAACAAAATGGTGAAACTATTACTCAGCAAGATGTTATAGATAATCCGTATTTAAGACCTGGAAAAATTCCTAAAAATAAAATGTCAAATACAACGATACCGGGACAGCATTCTGTTAAAAAAGAGCTACTTGAATGTTAAGTATTATGATGTAATATTAATTACTATATAAAATGAGAATTTGAAAAGTTTACGATAGTGATATCTTTACGAATTGTAAGTGGAAACTCTCTCTCTCTCTCTCTCTCTCTCTCTCTCTCTCTCTCTCTCTCTCTCCCCCCCTCTCTCGAATTCTTATGTATAGATCCATATTTTATATTTGATCCATTTTTATACCTGAATTATTAAGTTAGACGATAAAAATTATATTTTTATTCTGTATACTTACATGAAAGTATTTCGAAATACATGCATCACTGAAAATATATATTATAACATTCCATGTCGATTTTTAGAATTGATCCACGTCGTGTATGCACACATGTTATGTACTCACACACGTAACATATATACTAGGAAATAATTATCGTCGTATTAAAACTCTCTATCATATGGCAATATTAAAGCATGTAGCATATATTAACAACATTTGAAAAATAGTTTGGAAACATAAAAAAAGAATGTGATTTAAATTATTATTGCCATAGAATTTACAAATAGATTTCCTTATTGTACAAGATAATTCACTTAAACTGAAAACTTTAAATGTTTTATTTATTTTTAATGATCGAAAAATTTCTCAAATGAAAGTGAAATGGTTTCGAGGGATACGTCACATATCACGCCACGTCTTAGCGCCGAGATACTACCGTATCTCCAGATGTATATATTTTATAATTAATTTATATAGCTATATATATAGGCTATTTAATAAATATGTAGCAATTACATGATTATATTTATTTTATAAAAACATTTTAGTTTCTGATAATATACAAAAAAGTTAAGAATATTATAAATACGTGTTACTTTTATAAATATGTTTAATTTTATCGAAAAAATGTTCATTAAACTTATTTTTGGACAGTACATATTTTAATTAAAAAAAGAAATTAACAAAGAAGTGTATGTGTTTTACAATTTTTTACAAAGTATTTCCTTCAACTCAAGCATTAAAAATCTGTTGGTTTTAATGGTACAATAAAATATTAAAAGGAAAAAGTGTTAAAGTATTTTCTAAATAATCTAAATTATCAATTTTTTTTGTAATTACCTGAATATGCAAAGTAGTTAGAAGAATTATATTATATGAAAAATTATATAATTCCATTTTTTTAAATGGTGAGAACCTTGATATATCAAAAAATGTGACCTCAAAAAAAATTTGTTTATTATAATATTTGCTCTTTCAAAAAACTTTTTCCTTTTATGTTTTGTAGTATCATTAATTGTAGCGATTATATCGCCATTACTTCGACTGAAGATGCATTCGCAAATACATAATTTTCATTCGAAAGTATCACGTTCTCGGAATCGCGCAAATATCGAGACCTAATCAGCTGTTTGACGCAGAAAAAAAGGACAACACAGAGGCAGTTAAAGCGGTATCTCATATTAGAAGCACAATTTTTTGACTTTGTGATTTGATCATTTTTTACATTTCTTTAATTTAAAAAAAAAAGAATTTGAATTAAATTTTACATAACATTATCTTAATAATGATTAATCTTAAAACTTATTAAATTTCCTTAAAAAACAAAACGATTTATTATTTTTTTAAATTCCATCTATAGACTTCTAGCATTTACTCAAAATGAACTCGATATCTCAATAAGGGTTTCCTACATATATAAAATTACTTTTAAATAGAAGTATTAAAGATATTAGTCTTTTTAAATAAAATATATTAAACTAAACATTTTCCACCTAATTATTCAGGAGATCAAAAATTAATTTTTAATTTATATATATATATTTGCGTTTATATTTATGATAATAAAATTGAACATGTTACATGTTAAATTGTTCAATTGTATGTTCATAACAAATACGTTGAACATTATAAAAATTATAAATAATAAAAAGTGAACATTGACTATAGTTGCTTATTTATTTATAAAGGCCTGTGCGTTTTAGAATTTGCTTTTTTTATGTTTGTGACTATACATATTCCCAAACAACACGAGTGTTTGTCAACTTATAGTCAACTTTTTCCAGTATCGGCATATAGTCGATTGTTGAAAGTCGACTTAAAATCGATTGCTCCCAGTTGACGTAGAGTAAGTCGACATTCTAAATCGCAAGTTGACAGAATGTCGACTGTTAATTGACTTTTTTTGAGATATTCGTCAAGTATTAGTTAACTATTAGTCGATATTCGGTCAACTTATAGTCGACTTTCAATCAACTTCATGTTGTTTGGATTATTTCTTTTTAAAACATTTTTATTAAAAAATCTGATCTTATATATATTGAACGAGCAAAAATAAACTAACAGAACAAATAAATTAATTTCAAAATCTGTTAAACATAATACATAGCACATAATTAGTACTTACAACATAGAGACATAACACACATACATATATGTATATATGAATATGTTGTGTGTGTAAACGCTAAGCAAAATCTTGCATGCTCTCTTCTTGAAAGATTTTATTTTTCTTGTATTATTTAATATTGATACCATGGCTGACGACGTACCCAACGCAATTTCATACCGGAAGCTGTACGAATTTTTATGCTAGCACATTCTGCTGCACGTACTGTCTCTTTCACGCTTTGCATGAGATTCTGAGCATTTCCGACAAGCATGTCTGTTGCTTCCTGATCTTCTTCTGTACCTGTATTAACATCATAAAAGCAACTATCAGATTAAGTTGGAAAAATAACATTCTCTATTTAAAATACATCTATGTTTACATATATTAGGTGTAGTAAAAAGAAATCCATTATTTTTCCAATAGATGGCTTTAGTAATCTGTATCTCGTCTACGCGTGATTACATTTCTTTTTACTACACCTAATATTTTTCTCATATAAATCTTTAAAATTGTTATTATTACTATTACATGATTATAAAATTATATTTGTAATATAAAACTCTAAACACAATGCGAAATAACAGCAATAGCGATAGAAACAGAGGAATCCAACATTCGGAAATGCATATGTATGTACACACACTATAATCTTGAAATAGAAAAGTATACCACAGTCTATACGCGATCAGATTGGCCTTTTTATTTCCTTCGCGGCATTGTACAACGGGAGGCAACAATTATATATCGCTTATTTCTTCTATTCTTATCTCTACTATTTTTATCATTGTCCTTGTCGCTGCTGCATTGTGTCTAGGGCTTAAGAATAATATTTTATCTAACGTATTAAATGACAATCATATCAAATGGAATGGATAAAAGGATAAATATGCACAATATAAGTATATAATGTCATTCTAAACTATATAACAATCGATAAATATTTTTTGAAAAGGAATTTTCTTCACAAATGTAAAATCTTTTGTGAAGTGTGTGTATGCGTGTGTGCGCGCGCGCGTGCATGCGTGCGTGCTTTACATGCAGGATATGTAAATGATAATTTCCCATATCCGATTTTTTTCCCACAGGAATAATAAACTCTCTCTTAAAACATTGTATACATATCTTTTTATAACTAGTTTAGTTGATTACTGAAAAAAAAAACCGATTTTTAGTGGACTACCACTTCTGAATATTTCATATTTTTATATGCAGAATAATTAAAGGGATCTATTATGTAAAAAAAAGTCATATTCAATCAAATTTCATTTTAAAAGTGGAGATGACTTTCATATCTTTTTGGCATCTCCACTTAAAAAAGAACAAAGGCCAAAAATACGTTCCCCTCAAAATCGTTTCACTTATGTATAAAATGATTTTCTGTATCATCTATATTTTCGAGTTATTATCGGACACCTCGTATATAAACAAGGTGGCTTGTCACACTTTACGTGAGCCGTAACAATGTTTAAGGATAGATTTCTGAAATCATTTTAAAGTAAAAATCCTAATACCACAATATCGAGTCTATAATAATTTTTGAATTAAATATAAGCATTTAAAATTGTTGAATCATCGCCTAAAATTCGTGCATTCAGATATGATATGATACAATGAAAAATGTCAACCATATCTATCTTGGAAGTCTGTAACTCTTAATGATAGTGTATTGTTATGTCATTGCTGCGCAGCTTTTTTTACTATATAATATTTGCGCAATGATAATAAATAATGCCAATATTGTCATTGAAAGTTACAGAATTCCAGTGTTGAACACGCAAACTTTAGACGATAAAGTTCGCTAACTTTCAATGTTTTTAATTCAAAAACTGTTATAGCCTCGACATTTTGGTATTATCATTTTCGTTTTAAAATAATTTTAGAAATCTATTGTCAAGTATTGTTACGATCTTTATCCGACACCTATATATATTTGACATTGAATAATAGTGTATTTCACTTTTTTAATTCCTCTCAAGGAAAAAGTAGAGGATGCATGCTGTGCTTTAAATGCTATGTGTATTGCATAACAATCAAGTTTTTAGACAAAAAGAAAAAAAACAACATCAAAAGAAAAAAAATAAAGATAACATCAAGCAAGTTTACAACTTCTTTACCATAAAGCATCAGCTCTTCCCAGGTTGGAAGTGTCTCTATATATAAACAATTTAAGTTTTTCGTTAATGACGCATGATGTCTATTTTATTAATCAATGTTTAAATAGAGAAATTATATCACTAAGGTCATTAATATACATATTCCTTAATAGTTAATTAGACCGGAAATGATGATTTGTTATGAAATATAATCGACATATGAATATATTATATACAAAAGAAAATGTAATCTGTACCTTGTGCTCCAAGCATAGTAGCTTTTACTGTAGACAATATTTTCAATTGTGTTCCAATAGTAGGTATACGTTCGCAAACTTGGAGAAGATTCTAAAAAATTATTACAATAAAATTACATAATAATGACACATAAATTGTAATAATGATATTTTAATAAAATTGATATACGAGAGTAGTTCGAAAAGTTCTCGGCCTGACAAGAAAAACATATGATTTGTGGCAAAATTTTTTTTTTATTTTTCGATAGTCCCCTTGTAAGTCAATACACTTAGACCAATGATATTCTAACTTCTTTAGACCTTCAGTATAATACAATTTTTCTAATCCTTTAAAACAAGCGTTTGTCTCAGCAATGACCTCCGTATTTGAAGTGTATCTTTTTCCAGCCATTTCTTCGGATTCGGGAATAGGAAAAAATCACTGAGGGCTAAATCTGAGTACAAAGTGGCAGCAATTCGAAGCGCAACTCATGAAGTTTTGCGACTGCAATTGCAGAAGTATGAGAAATAAGTTTTCGAGAAATATCAAAAAACTTGCTTTATTCGACACAGACAAACTATTAACCGCATCTATCTGAAACTTTTTCGGAGACCCTCTGAAGGATCAAACTTAAAAAAAATCATAGCCATTTGATACTCCCGATGCGATCTCTATGTCAGGCCGAGAACTTTTCGAGCTATCCTCGTATATAGCAATAATATACGAACCGTTCGAATACGTTTATCAGTACATTCCCTGGCTAGTTCCTTTGCGAGACGTGTCACTTCCTGAGAAGCTTCTGCAATAGCTTTGGCACATGCGATAAGATCTCGTTTATTACCACCTTCACCTCTAACTAGTCCCGATAATCTGCCCATTAAAATAGCCATCTTCTTTGCTGCAGCAATAATTTCGTTGTCTTTGCTGGACCATTGCCGTACTTCTTGATGTAAACCATGAGCGGCCATCTACATAATAGATTTCATAATATAGATTTTATGTTCATGTACGTTGTACACGATTTTTGCACACACGCATTGATTTTACACGATAACAATAAAAATAA